ACACATACCAAAATTCAGCTCAATATCTGCAAGCGTTTAGAAAAAAAAGTATGGAAAACCAAGTGGGACAGACTGACGGGGACAGACAGACGGACAGACAGACAGACGGACGGACGGACGGACGGACGGACGCAGAGGAAACCTATAGTCCTCCCGGTTTCACCGGTAGGGGACTAATAACTTGTTGGAGGATTTCAAACTGAATGCCGTGGAAATACCCTTTTTTCAACATAATTCTCCCAATGCCGTAAAGTACGTGAAAAGAAAAGTTGAAATTGATTTTGACGTTATAATCAATCTAAGTACTTTGCATTTACAATTATCAGAGCCATCTTGACTTTGTTGAAATATAGCACCGAAAACGGACAAAGTTGCAAAAAGAAATGACAAAACATAGGATGATTCAGTATTGATTGTTTTGTAAATTAGTAAATCTTTAACATTTGAAAAGAAAATTTGTTCATATACATGTATACGGTTTGGAACTAAACGTGCTTTTTAGGTTTCTAATATCCCGAAAATTGTTCTGTTTATTATGTTCATCTTTGTTACAGAGATTCATACACGATTCTATGTAAAGGGTAAATAAAAAAATGGTTGTCTTCATTGGATGATTATCACTGCATACGTATGAGGAAGTACTGGGCGTAAGCTTTTTTAACACAAAGAATGTCAATTTATTATGCGTACCCGAATACATCAGTGGGTATTTTCTACAGTAAACACCCTGTTGATAGAAAGATGTAGAAAAAATAAGGCTAAAATATTACTTTATATCTTCCTTGTAGGGCTTTTATTACATAGTTATATAATGAATATTAACCTGTACAGATATTTAAAGGGTTGATTATAATAAAGAGGTTTGCTATTACAACAAAGGGGTTCCTGCCTATCGATTGTGTCATTTCTAAACAATTGTAACGAATGTTGAAGAGATGGGTTGCTTATATTTTCAACTAAATATTGATGTTCAATTGTAAGCTCGAGTGACACTTTTTTATTTGCGTGAATGATTGTAAAAGATCCGACTAAATTTGTAAAGTTTAAATTATGACTTAAACAAAGAAAACCTAAAGTTACTATGAGCACTGATATAAGTAATTGATACCCTAACCCCCGCCTCAAATATTTTATATATTGGCAACATCTATGTCGTACTCCAGAAATAAATGTCAGATCAAATTGTACAAGAGGAGATGTAAAATTGCATTATTAGTAGTCAAATTTTGAATTCATATTCAATTCATATATAAAACGGAATTTGTCCAAAATCTTATACAGGCAAAGAAAAAGCTCTGCTCCTAATTTGTATTGTTTTACAAAGTTTGAAATTGAATACTGTTCGTTTTCGCCATATCATTCCCTTGACATAAACAATCAATTATCTTCTTGACCCCGATCGACTATTGAAGCCTTTTTTTTACATTTCACAATAATAACAAGGGAAATCAACTATCAATTAGTTCATGCGTAAAGAGTTTCACAGTTAACAATGTCTCTAACATTGTACTCACTTGCATAAGACGTACTTTGTGTCTTTTGTAACCGACGAGAATTCCCTATGTCCTTAAATGAACACTGCATGTGTATATTTACCTGTTCTTTTTAAAATAAGGATTAAATACTAAAAACCTGTTATTACTGATACTTTTTTAGATTCTATATGTCAATATCTCTCTTTCTAGCATGCATGTGTGTTTGTGAGGGGGTTTGGGGTCTTTTTTAAAGCATACATGTTTTGTGGAAATGATATTCATCATTGTTACAGAGATTCATACACGATTGTATGTCAAGGCTAAATAAACAGTCCCTAGCTTTCCTCATTGGAAGATTTTCACCGCATACGTAGAAGGAAGTCTAGAGCAGTAAACCTATTTAACACAAAGAATGTCAATTTATTATGCGTACCCGTATACACAAGGGGGAATCATTTATAGTAAACATCCTGTGGATAGAAAGATGTAGAAAAAATAAGGCTAAAATATTATATTAAATCTTCCTTGTGTGACTTTTATTACATAGTTCTACAATGAATAATTAACTTATACGTACATTGAAAGGGTTGGTAATGATGGAGATATTTGTCATTACAACAAAAGCTTTCCTTTCTCTTGATTGTGTCATTTCCAAGCGATTACTAGGATTGGTAAAGAGATCAGATGTTTATGTTGAAACTAAACATTGATGTAAATTTGTAAGCTCAAATGACAATTTTTGAATTGCCCTAATACAGGTAATTGTAACAGATTAGACTGTATTGGTTACGATTATGGTGTATTATGATTGAAACCAGTAAAAACACGGGGTACTCTGAGTACTGAGCTCACAAAATGATACCCCCGCCTCTCATATGATTTGTATTGGCAAAGTCCATGTATTGCTATGGTAGACTCAAAATAAATAAATTTCAGATCAAATTGTAAAATAAGAGATGCAGAATTTCTTTATTAGCAGTCCTATTTTTGAAATCATACGAAGTAGAATATTTCCAAAATCCGATACAGGAAAAAAACAAAAAAAAAGCTTTTTGTACCCTTTAACTCGACAATAAGACAAATCGACGACGTATTTGCAACAAACTATGCTTATTTCCACTTAAAATGATATCCCCCCGCCTCTCATATGATTTGTATTGGCAAAGTCCATGTATTGCTATGGTAGACTCAAAATAAATAAATGTCAGATCAAATTGTAAAATAAAAGATACAGATTTTCTTTATAAGTAGTCCTTCTCTTGAAATCATACGAAGTAGAATATTTCCAAAATCTTATATAGATAAAAAAAGCTTACTCCAGCCTTTAACTGGACAATAAGACAAATCTACGACGTATTTGCAACAAATAATGCTTATTTTCAATCTTATAATGCCTATGTCGATAAAATATATCCTGTTATTGTGCCTGGAGCTTGAGATAAAAAATTATTCAAACATCCGGCACCAATGAAAAATTGTTGTGCCTGGTTTAACTCTGAAATACTAAGGATTCCGGGGGCTTCGCCCACCGGGCCCCCACCAGGGCTTCTCCCTGGACCCACTGAGGGCCTTAAGGCGGCCCCCAGACCCCTTGCCTCAACAAAGTTATCCACGCCCCCCCTAACCACCTTGGATATTAAACATCTAAAATGCAATTTAAAATCTCTGGAAATTTTAATTGAATTAGATGTTAATGGTAATATAACAACCAGATGTTTTAAATAAAAGTTATGACTTAAATATTTCAATCGTCAATTTTCCTTACTTATGCCTTCATCACATACATATGGGGTTTATATCTCTCCGTTGATTAGATAAAGAAAAGCATTATCTACGTATGTACAATTTCTAAAACGAGGTAAATTATTGACAATTAAGTTGATGAAGCAAGAATAACAGCAGTCTTGTTAAAGCAATTGATTCGTAAATTCTATGTACTAACAGACAGTGTCATTGTTTTGCTGTGACAAACCCGTACGTAAACATGTAATCTATGAAAAAGTAAAATACATGTAAGAGGTGTACAATGACACTAGGTTATAAAGAATACAAAAAATCTCAATAAGTTTCATTTAGTGGTTTGGAGGAGTTTCTGTCAGACGGGTGACTATTTACGTTATTTCCCGATCATGACAAGGAGCACACGGCGGGTGTGACCTGTCAGCGGAGGATCCTAACTCCTCCATGGCACCTGATCCCACCTCTGATGTTTTGGAGGTTCGTGTTTGCTCTGCTCCTATTTTGTATTGTTTAATGGAATTTGATATTGAATACTGCTCGTTTTCTCCATATCCTTTATCTTTTATTATTACTATTATAGTAAATAAAAGTTGACTATAGTACTCTTTTGTTTGAGCCCAAGGACAAGTGTTGACTTCACAATATGATGAAAAGGTTCTCGAAAATTACATTTTCAAACAAAACTGCAAGAAGTTTCTTAAACGAGGCGAATAAGTTGAGGAAGGTAGAACTGAAACAGATTTCTTTAAAATCACTGTTTCTAAAAAAAATTGTTTGCATTTTATTTGATTTTTTCTTGTATATATTTCTTATCATAACAACTGAAGTTTTCTCTTACAACATTTTGTTAAATTGTTGGAAACCTAAGCTTTCATGGGATAAAGCAATTACAGCAAGATGGAAGGAGTAATAATGAAGAGTATGTTTGCTAAAACTTAATTGACATAAAGTGCACTTTGTGAAAGACAATTTTATAGAATATATTTTGTGGGATATCATCTTTATATATTTTTAATCATTGAAATTTTACCAAACGTTTCAAAAAAATTGCTTTTATCAGAAAATAGGGATCATATTTTTTTGAGGGGAAAAAAAGAAAAAAAAGTATATAAAATTGGTAAAGTGTAAACTTGAATTAGATATTTATCAGGTTACTGAATGAGCTATATTATCTCTTTTTGAAAGAAACATGCATAAAATCTTTCAGGAAAGCAATTCTTTTAGATAAGGGGTATATCCATTTTTCCTTTAATATTTTTGATATCCTGAAGGTTTTTTCAATCTCAAATGCAAAGGAATAGTTTCATTCTGTTCATTTTTCAATGGAAATTCGTTAGCACATCATATAAAAATATTTATTTTTTTTCTAGTATGACACTTTGGTAAAATGTTCACGTAGTTTTGTTATTGCATTGACACCCCTACCGGTATGTTTTTACTCTGCCTGAAGTTCACTCAGGAATAAGAAGAATTTACAATTGTCAAAACTATTAAAGAAAAATTATATAGAACTTGCCATATTTTGATAACGTTAATATAAATCTGCCTTATCTAAATAAAGAATAAAATAAAATATTATAGATTCCGAGCACTTCTCTTGAAATTAAATCATTGACTTTACATGGAAAATATGAACAACGCAATTAAAACAAAATTAATTCCATTGGTTACACGTAAATAAGAACGGCAAATACAATAAATCCAGGAATTAAACACAATCGATACTTTAGAAATAATAATTACATAATAACAAGCCAATCGTTTTGCAGGAATGGATAATAATTTGATATTTAAACTCGTCAGTTGACGGATAATTCTAAGCTCTTACAGAAACGCTGTAAATAAACACTAGAGACTACAAAATGATCAGTCTTCGTATTGTTTGTTTAATGGCCTCTCTCTTTACAGTTTCTCGTGCTACCATCTCCTCCTTCAGATATATCGCGAAACTGGAACTCGATAACAAGATGTCCAATGAGGAACTTATAGGACAACACGAAGCCCAATCTTTAAGCGAGTGTGCTGCCACCTGTCAGAGAGATTGCGGTTTCTTCGGGTACAATCCTACGCTGAAGAAGTGCCGGACCCACAAGAAGCCCTTTACCTCCGGAATGTCGGACGAAAACGGATGGCGGTATTACTTTCCGGAATGTATGTATTGGTTTTCATTTTATTTTTTCTTCAATCTTACACATGTAGCCGATTTATCTACCTTATTTTGATTGTTTACTCTTATGAGTCGTTTCAAGCGTTGTATTGTGAAGATAACTATTTTATTTATTGTCTAGGTCATAATCTTATATAATTCTTAGTTTTGATTTGAGTTCTTCCTTCAGATGGTCTAAATTTAAATCCTAAATAATTCTCAGTTTTCATCTAAGATTTTCCTTTACTTATTATAAGTCCTAATCCTATATAATTCTCACTTTTGTTCTTTAGTTCTTCCCTCAGATTGTAAGGCACTTCGTGACAATGGTTATGATAATTCGGACGTGTACGATATTTACCCATACGGGATAAAGTCCATTCCGGTCAAGGTTCATTGTAATATGGATATAATGGGCGGCGGATGGACGGTAGGTTTTGATTTCTTTTTACATCTTAGCCTTTTGATGATAATGTGATGATATTGTGATGATATTGTGATACCTATATTTATGTAATGATATGGATTGTTCCTTTTTTAAAGACCGAATTTCCGAAGGTGGGGGTGGAGGTTATGCCCTGTTCACTGATACGGATTGGTTGTTGCTTTTTTAAAGATCAATCACTGCTCGCTATCTCCACCTTTTTATTTATTCACAATGATCTTTCCAGGGCAATCAAATCTAGCCTAATAAATTTACATACAGCTTTCCAAGGTAATCCAAACTAGCCAAATAAATGTACATACATCTTTCCAAGACAATCCAAACTAGCCCAATAAATTTTAATACATTTTTCCAAGGCAATCCAAACTAGCCTAATAAATGTACATACACCGTTCCAAGGCAACCCAAAACTAGCCTGATAAATGTACCTACATCTTTACACAGCAATCCAAAATAGCCTAACAAATGTACATATAATCAAGATATCTTATAAACATTCGAATTTTGAAATCAGTTAAAAAAAATAAAATGATGGTAATATAAACAGTACTCTAGCTTTGGTCTTGTTTTCAGCTGTTCAATGATTAAATAAAAAATGCATTTTGGTTATCAAAATAAAGGAAAGATTTAACATACAAGAATGGAAATTCAAAAGATTCCGTATTTGAAAGTCCTTTATTTTTGAAAGTCCTTATGCTTTTAATAGTGTGAATATTGTTAAACACAGATTGTATGATATTTCAGAATATATTTAAAACAAATAATTTTACTAAAATGTGTCATTCCACATTTTACAAATTATATTGACGGTCAATAGTGACAGGTTTTTCTTCTTACAGTAATAGTAGTCCGTATTATACACATTCTCGATCAAGAACGACTTTCTATGAAAAGCCCCATACATTTCTATACTAAAGATCTGGGGACTTTTATTTGAAATTCTGTTCTTCTTTTTTCATTTAAAGATTCTGATTGACACCATCTAAATCAAAAAACTGCGCCGTAGCGTCATCAAACGTCACTTTTTCGTGTGTTTGTTTACCAGTTTCAAATTTCGACTCAGGAAAGTGCAAAAAAAATAATTTCCAAAATATAATTTTTGAAAAGACTCATATAAATTGTTAAGCGAATAAGTGTTTTTCGCCACATCTTATGTGTTTAAATCTGATATTTTTTCATGTATTCAACGCTTTATTGAAATGAAAACATTTTTAATATTTCACGATCATCAAAAAATTATGTCACGTCAAATCTGAACATTGAAATCATGTTTTGCTGCAGAATGAAAATTAAAATTGTCAACACTGTAAATTGATTTTGCTGGAAATTTAGGTTTTTATAGCCACGGGCTATTCCTAGGTAAGTGTACTCACATTAAAAATGATTTTAGCAGAAAACAGGATCATTTTGTTCATTGTACTTTTCTATATCATTAAAGATTTTTTGAAAAATTTATAATCTAATTTTTTTTAATGTTCTGTAAAGTCAAATCGTCTGCATTCTATTAAGTAAACATTTTTAAATGGAACAGCAAAATCGAGACATGGTGATTTGTATAGTAAAAACGATCACAATTTCCCCTTGGTGAACATTGTCCTTTTGTCGTCATTGCTTGGTTGTTTGAAATTAAAAGCCGAAATTATTATTTATTTTAAAAACTAAAGAAGATTAAGTTGAAAATTATTTCTTAAATCCTTTTTTTTTTTTTACCGTGAACCGTAGCTGAACCATTAAAATAATAAAATGATTTCTGTCATTAATTTTATAAAAAAATGATGCTTTCATGTGATAAATAAACATTTACTGAAAATTTCAGCTTTGTGCCATTATTTTAAAAAAGTACATCGGTATTTTCCAGACAACCCTCCTAAATTCTATAAAATGATATAAGCAGATTATAGAATCTTATCTAAAATATTGCATTTAAATACTATACAATGGGCATATAGTCTGATACAGTTTTAAACAATGCATTTTACAAAAATCTTTAGATTGTTATATTATTTTCCCTTGGGCTATTTTTACAAAAATATTATTGTAATAACTTGCTATTGATTTTGAATATATCTTAAAAGGAAAGTAATTTGATTACTTCGTAAGTTTATATTCAAATAAGAATCAATGGAATTTTTAATTGGAAATGACTATCCATCAATTAACAAAAGAAAACACCTCATCCCTGTATGTGAATAACTCTACAGATGGTACAACGTCTTTAGGAAATGTACGATTATTCTCTGTCTCCAATAAGCAGGAAAATACAACTCTTTCTTGCAGGACCTGCCACGGGATTTTAAAAGTGTATCTAAGTTAAGTTCTTAAAGTTAGATTTAAATTACGCTTTTATTATAAAAATACATTTTGTATTGAATTATTATTTTTTTTTGAAAAAAGATACGTTTTTTCTGGTATTCTTTTTGATTCAGCGCACACTAAGTATATAAAATTTCAAATATCATCTGCATGTTCAATTCTTTCTGCAAACATTGAATTTTTTATAGCCAGAGTTAAAATTTGAAAATAACATTTTATGACTTTTACAGGCGTCATTAAGTCTTAAATATCATGTACAAGCAATAAATTATTTGATCAGATACATTTAAATTGAAAAAAAAATTAAAAAAAATATTTAAAAAATTATATGTGTTTACATTAACAATTTGCTTTATAAAATTTTTAAAACATTAACAGTGAACTATTTCTTATATCGTTAAAATTTTGAATGATTACTTTATTGTATATTATAATTTTTAAAGGGATGTCTGACATATACGAATATTTCATTACATGTTTTCTGATATTTTCAGTGATCTTTGCAACCACCCCCACCCCCCCCCCCCAAAAAAAATACCATGCTTAAGAGGAACACGCCAGTGTTTATTGTTAACTGATAATGCAAAATTTGAATACATTCAGTTGGCTTGTAGGTTTTTATCTCTCTATACAAGAAACAACACGTTAAACTTTGCATCTTAACGACTTATCCTTTTGCTGTCTTCAAATTATTTTCTGTTAATATTGTTTCTTAAATCTGCAGATGCAGTTTTATAAATAAAGGACTAAACTAAATAAATATTATCACTCTTTCCATCACATAAAGCTTTCTATCTGATACCTCAGTATTGCAATTATTGACAATTAGATTAAAAATATATGATCAATTATGTGATTTATTTTTCTTTGATTTTACAGGGACAGTATGTTAAATACTTTTATTTTATATATATATATATATATATATATATATATATATATATATATATATATATATATATATATGTATATATATTTATATATATTCTACAGGAGAAATTTGGACACAGAAATCTGTCTATGTAAATCAACCCCGGACAGGATAACGTTTTGGTGGTAACTGTGCTGCTTGGAGTGGCTACAGAGGAGGCTGGTGGTTTAACGCCTGTCACCGAGCCTTCCTTAACGGTCAATGGTCCCCGGGGTCCTGGTACAACCCATGGTCTCCCACAGTAACGAGTGGATCGTTTATAAGAGGGACTTCGATGATGGTCAGACGGCACTAGGTAAATATCTGTCATTCTAATTAACATCACTAAATTATAATATCAAACATTTACTTTCCACTACCAAAATAATTATTTTAAAAGTTAATTAGAGAAATTGGATCAGATATTAAGAGTACAATGTTAATTTTCTGAATCAATATTTATTATTTTTTTCAGGAGATGGATATTGTTAAGAAAGAAAAAGAACACAATGACGACCACCTAGCAGTCTGGCAAGCATGGCCTTTCTGATATAAAAGACAATTTTAATTCTGTCAACCATGGAGTTATGTTAATCCGTTTTCTATTATAATGTTTTATACCAAGTAACAAAACCTGTAAACGATTATGTTCTTGAAGAAGTCTTGTGGATGAACTGTTACCTGAAGCAAAATATTTTTGAACAATTTTTATACTGAACTTTGTAGATTAAACTTTTATATTGTAAAGTGTTGTAATAAAATATACTTTTGAAATATTTTAAGTTTCATTTTTATTTAGGAATTCTAGCAAAAGAAGTTCTTGGAAGAACAATAAGGATAATGATAAGTGTATTATAAAACATGTTGCAGTGCAATCTGTCTTATCCACAATCTGTTCAAAGGTCAAACATTGAATTTTTTCTCTGCGGAGGATCCAAGAATTTCAAAGGGTTGCAATAGAAGTAGGGGTCTTGGGATGCATTGAAGCCCAGTTGATCCGGGTAAATCCTGATGTGAGTCCGGGGGCTAAGTCACTTAAAAACTTTGGAAATTCTAACAAATAAGCCGTGTTTTGCTTTGAAATTAGAATAGTACAAACAAAAAACGGGGGAGGGGGGTACGCCCGGGACCCTTTCCTACATGGATCCGCCATTGATTCTTATATCTACTGATGTCTTGTTTCTGTGCACACCGATGTCCTGTTTATATCATGGTGGATGCTCTTGTCCCATTTTAATTTAGCGGGAAAAAGAAAAAAGAAGCTTTTCACTTGACATCAATGACACACATCTTATTTTAATAAATACAAGTTAAAATATGATATTAATATACTGAGATCGTTTTCTATCCAGAGTTGCTCTTTCCACCTTACCATATATACCTCTCTCGACACTTGGTATACAAGAATCTTGGAAAAATTGTAAAGGGTGATTAATCAAATAAAAAGAGCTTTAATTCATATATTAATCATTAGTAAAATAAATTCATTTTTAACCGTCTCCTTAAAGTATCCCTCTAAGTTTTTATTTATACTCAACAATATAGTTCCTTAATAACTGAGAAAATTAATCGTTATAAAGGGTGATAGTTTTAAAATAAATGATATAATTACATCTTTATTGATATGTACACTAATTTATTTT